TATACAAACCCACCCAGAGGTTTTAACAAGCGAAGTAATGTAATTGACCCCTGCATTTACTCATCAATTTGAGTGCACAATTCAATCTAGATATAGCCGCGAAAAATCCCCAATGTTACGGATACAATCATAGAACAAACCATGTTATGGTAACATACATAGTCGTTCGTTTCCTCCGAATGATAAAATACAAAACAGAAAAAGAAACAAAAGAGAGGGGCATTCCGAGAATTGAACTCGGGACCTCTCGCACCCTAAGCGAGAATCATACCACTAGACCAAATGCCCTTTTTGCAGCATTTGATTCGATCCAAATCATTTCAGTCGTTGATGTTACCATCATCGTTGGTAAAGGGATTAAATCCGCTTCTCACCATTTTCTCAAGCGGCCAGAACAATGGATTTGGGAGATTCAACCAATCGAACCAATCCCATCCTTCGCACTTCTCCGGCTCCAGATTCTCCGGTCTCTGACTCGGATCAACAAGCGTCGCACGCATGAACACAGTCACGTAGTGAGATGGTTTCGGTGACTCGTTGAAGACGTTGTTTGTGACGGTCAAAAGCGTCGTCTTCTCAATCTCAAGCCCTGTTTCCTCCATAACTTCTCTTCCTGCGCATCCTTCGAAGCTCTCTCCTGCTCAAAAATCACACAATAGATTACAAAAATCAGCTGAGATTTTGGAAAAAAAAAGCGACTAGGTTAAGCGTTTGTGAGAAATCTAGAGAAGAGAAGAGACCGAATTCGAGATGGCCACCGGGAAGAGCGAAAGTGGAGTGGCCGATTGAAGATCGGCGTTTCCCTAACAGCACCGAGTTTCCCTTGACGACGAAAACCACGACGGCGACTTTCGGTAGAGCTTTTTCTCCAGTCTCCATTTTGTCCGGTCTCTAATAGAAAGGTGTAGTCACAGTGGAAAGCCTTTTTCTATTTGTTGACTATTTGGATCAAAAATGGTGACGTATCGATTTTGCATTTGGTTATGGCCCAAATGTGTAGTTAAGGCCCAGAGGCTAGAGCCCAGACATAATGGCAAATAAAATTATGAAATTCATGTATTTTATGAAAATCAATTACTCTGAAAATTTCGTAGAA